CGGTTCTCACGGTCTCTTCGCTTGCAGATTTCATATATTTTTTCTTCTACCCTGAAGATGGAGGCGATACGTTCCTCCGAAACGTCGGTTAACACCACATATACACGGTGCCAAATCCCAGAAGACTGCTTTCTTCATAGTCACCGCCGTGAAAACCTCAAATCTTACATGTTACAGGATGTTTCTACTTTTTCTCCTGCACAGTAAACCCTGTGCTTTACAACGTGATGTCTGTCAAGTACCGCCTAGCATTCCGCAAGACTCTTTGCTGTGGCCCAGCTGATAGTGGCTGTAACCGAGAAGTATCCACTTTCAGGGATACAACAGTTGTCTATGTCAATACTCACTTGGATCGTCGCAGGTTTGTAGTATATATGCAAACAGGGCTATTTAATGTGTACACATTCATTCATTGGCATATGATATGACTGAAGTACCAACATTACAATTTGCCATATTATAGTTTAAATTCCATGATCTAATGACAGAGTTTCTGTTGTTATTGTTGCTCTTGTTGCCATAATCATTATATTCATTGAATTGAATTGAATTTATTTACATTCTATAAATCCTAAGCAGGTTAGTACCTTTGGATACAGAACAAGTCAAAAGGTTACATACATAAGTACAGGCAATTTTAGCTTAAAAATTAATATAACTTAATTTTACATCATTCTCTATTTACATTGAAGTATTCATCTAAAGAGTAGAAGGAATGAGCATGCAGATAATTCTTTAACTCTGATTTAAACTTTTTAGTATCATTGCCCAAGTTTTTAATACTTTGTGGCAGATTGTTGAACACTTTTATGCCAGTAAAGTAGACTCCTTTTTGATATACTGATAGAGTTGATGAGGATAGGTGGAAGTTATATTTTTGTCTAGTATTCATGTTATAGACATCAGAATTTAATTTGAATTTATCTTTGTTGTAAACAACAAATAAGAGAAGCGATAATATGTATTGCGATTGAAGATTATCATTATTGTCATCATTGTTGTCGTTTTAGCTAGTATAGGGAACTATACTTTGCATGCAGTTGCTAATAACACTTGCATACAAAGGTCTGTGCATCTGTTCTTTATAGCCTGCTGACAGAATAGTATGTAGGCAGAGCACTACAATGTGTGTAGTAACTGTTTCTATTATAAAAAGAGGTTACTAGGTATTTGTTTCTATATTTCATCTTATCTGCTTCAAAATGATTGACAGAGAATGTTGGTTTAAATTCTTGAAGCAATTAGTATTTGTCCAGTAATGTTTTGTTTCAGTAGAAAACCATAAATATTTATTGTTAAATTAAATATAAACATATTTATTCACCTTTCAGAACTAATAGTAAGGGGTTAGGAGAGAGAAACATTGTAATAATACAACTCTTTTTGCACAATACACATTTTAAAACACTTCTTTCATATTTTACCATCCTTAAAAGAGTACTTGGTGAAACACTAAACTTGTAGAGATTCAGTGTAATATAAATATATGCTGTCAGTACTGACTCATTTTGTATTATTCAGCTAAATGGAATTGTGATTATTTGAAAGAACAACTATTTGAAAATGTATAAGGGCCATGATTTACAGTTCCACACATCCTCAACATTAGTTCAAGGTAAATGATCAGCTTTACAATCAAATTGCTTGCCCCCGGGAAACTGCCAACAGCCCTCATTGGTTGGAAGGCTGTTTGGGCCACACTGACCTAATGGCAAAGAGAAAAATTCCTGCTCCTCCTAGAAACCTAACCCCAGACCTCGAACCCATAGTCAATCATTATAGTTACTGAAACATTACTACTCATTAGTATCATGATGAGCTGGGGAAACAGCTGGAGTAACATAATAAACACAACATATCTTTAAATGTAAATATGTTCTTGCAAAACCCTCAGTGGCAACACTTCTTTGCTCTACGATATTATAGCACTAATGACACTTATGTGTATCTAATTTCTGTGTAAGAATATTGTGCAGATGTAGGCTACCATGCTGAAATTTCAGAAATCGCACAAACAGAGTCCAACTTAACATTGAAACATCATGGAAGCCTGAAACTTTGTCTGTTTCCACAGGTCTAGTAGCAACCAGGGAGAAGTGAGACGACTAAATTCATTCAGTATGTACTCAAAACATAGTGGCATTCCCAACAATATGCTAGAGGAAATGACACATGCTATTTCACGACGAAATTCAACTCCAGCAAGAACAGAAGCAAAAGATCATGGCAGCTCAAGAAACTCCAGTACTGTACTTGACCATCACAACAAACATCACAAATGTCAGACTTGTGATTGCTCATTGAATCAAAGACATGACTGTGATGAAATTTCAGACATGATTGTCACTCTGAAGCCTTCATCCAACAGCAAAACAAATTCTTACCCTACACCTAAGACTTGGCCAAAGGTTCTTCTAAGAGCTGCCAAGAAGTCAACGGGAGTAAGTGGAGGTAGGTCTCAATTGGCAGAGCCATGTTTGAGGGACATGCAATTGCACAGCCAGCAGGAAACTTGCATGTAATGTAGCTATGTTCCTCAGTAGCTCTCAGTGTCCCATGCAGAGGACATTTTCAAGGCCTTGGAACTGCATCTTTTAGAATCTGGAGTTTCTAAATATGCTATCCTATATTAGGGCATACTCTGTACAGTGGTTTAATGTGTTCAATTCAGATAAACAATAATACATATTACAATACTAAAGTAACTGTGTAGGAGAGATATTTTAGTGCATTTGAGTATCTGTACACATGGAAGACATATCATAAGATCAAGCAAATGCATTCTGCCTTCAACACCTGACTAATAAAACTACCATTTATCAGCATTAAGTTTAACAATGTAAAATTGCATTCATTTTTCCTCATCCTAAGTATTTCCTGCTAACCAGCTCCATGATAGAAACCTGAAAGTTAACAATTGTTCTTCTGGTCAAGAAATTACTTGGTTTTAGAGAACTCGAAATTTCCACACCACTTTTATAGAAACTGTGAATGGGCCATATCCTGAGCCAAGTGAATTTACCCCACAGTCCCTGTTTCTCTAAGATTCATTGTAATAACATTCTCCCATCTATGCCTTGGTATTCCAAGTAGTCTCTTCCTTCAGGTTTCTTGTACTAACTATTGTATGCTTTTCTCATCTCCCCTGTGTGTGTATATATGCTAACACTCATCCACCATCATCTTTTAAAAATAATTGTTTTATTTAAAGAGCTTAGATTATGAAGCTCTTTATTATACTTTTCTCCATAATTCTGTTACTTTCTGTCTCAAGCGTCGAAATATTCTCCTTGGCACTCAGTTTTAAAATGTTCTACATGTCTCTTCTTCCCTCACAGTGAGATATCAAGTATCATACCAACATAAAATACCATTATAGTTTTGTATATATGAATTTGTAGATCTTAATACAGAACATGGGAAGATAAAAGATTCTGAATTGAATAGTAGTAAGCTTTACTGAATTCAATCTCCTTTTAATTTTACTGATAACATAATTTAGATCTCTAATTGTTATTCCCATGTAATTGAACTGAATCATACCTACAAATGATTTATTACCTCTACATATAACATGACTTTGGCCTAAACATGTTTTTAAAACATGAATATACAATTAGTTTTTTGTTTGTTTGTCTGTCCGTCTGTTTGCGCATATACCAATCTCCTTATTAGTGTGTAAAATTTTGCTTTCAGTTTTGAGTCTTTAGTTTCAATTTAATGAGTTAAAATCACAAGAATGGACCCATAACTGATGTGCTCTACAGGTATTCAATTCAAATCTATTATGATTCCCTTACATCTTTCTCATCATGTAGTGTATAAAGCAAAGTTGAAAAGCCATGGAGATAAAACACCTCCTTTTTCCAAGCCATCCTTAATCGAAATGCTTAAACATTTAAGCAAATTTTAAAAAATACTAGATGGTTAGTAGGAATTTTGTTCAAGCATATTTTCAGTCAACAGAACTACAAGTAGGCTCATTAGTATCCTAAGTTCAGTTAGAATGTTGTATATATGATATTTATATCCCAACTGAATCTTAGACTTTCCTGAAATTATAAATGATGTAATCCTATTGTATCATCAAATGACACATTCTCAGGTTGTAGATGGAGGAGATGACCTCCAGATATTAACGTTGGCTGTGAATATACTGAATAAGGATTCGAGCGCAGTCAACATGAGGTGAACCTCAAGCCTGGGTCTGGGTGGGAAGACTAAAAAACAGCACCTCACTGAAAAAAACTAACAGGAAATGGGGTATAGAGGGCAGCTGTGAACAATGTAATGAACCTTTGGGTTCCATAACACTTCTTGACCAGCAGAGCAGTTACCAGCTTCTGAAGGACATCATCCAATGGAATGGGTGGATGATGCACATTTCTGGATGTACATAAAATGTGATTGGTAGAAAGGAATAAAATCTACTACCTGGTTGACAAGGAACTGAATAAGTCAGGTCAGCATCCGAAGCATAGAAAGCATGAGTACTGAAATCTGAATCATATACACCCATTCTTTTAACTTACGTCTTAGTATATAAACTATATTACATTAATTGTCATGAATGTTTCATCGTTGTAGACTTTGGCATAGAATCTTTGAAGACGTTTGTGCTTCGAAATGTACATCATGACTTAATACGAGTAACTGACATTGTGAAGTGATCTCAGTTTTGCATTATGTGACCTTTGTTTATGTTACTATAGCTGATAATTTGGTAACTTGACAGTTTTTAATATGTTGTAAATACAAATGAAATTTTGTGACTCACAAAGAAATCTTAATAAAATGTGATATTTGTAATTTGTAATCCTTATAAAAATTGCTGTATCTTTCACCACTCTTAGTAACGTTGACTGAGTCTGTTGGATTTGATGTTCTCACAGCAGTGATTATAAATCTTTAGTGATGTGATATTGTGTAGTCCAGTAGAAGTACATAAGTGTCTTCAAACATCAGTGAACTTCTGTTGGACTACACAGCATCACATCTCATTTGATGGTACCCTTTATTGACTGCTTTATTTTTCATGGCATTAATCAAGAATGCATTAGTTTTCCAGTCTATAGTATTGTCATACTGTGGAACATTTGTGTTCACTGATGGATTGATGATCATGTAATAAGAGACCAAATGCTCTGAGTCAGAGGATGTAGGTATGTAAGCAATATGTGTATTCACACGTTCTTGAGATATGTACTGAGACCATTACCAAGGATCACAGGCAATGACCACATGAACATGATGAACTGTTTGAAAATTAATCACCCAGGGATTGGCTTATTTTTATAATGATAGAGACAAAGATAATTTTTGAGGTTTTAAATCTTTATGACAATCTGTATACAATGTAGAGTTTTCTGGACTGTACTGAAGTATTTTATTGAAAAGAGCTTCTGATGGTACAGAGGAACTTACTGTCTCACTTACAGGGATGGTCTGTCTTCAAGACAGAGACAATAGGTTCTTCAGAAATTTTGACATTTCTTCCCAAAGATTGTACATTATGAAAATATACTTTCCTCTTAATGAAAGAAATTCTCATTATATTATCACGGTTTATGCTTGACCCACTGAGGTGACAAAAGTTGACTTTACAGCATTTCCTATTCCTACAGCAGAATATCACAACCCTTACCTACTGAGCCAATTGGTGTAGATGAAATGCTCTGCCCTTGCAACTGGAAGGTACCTGGTTCAAATCTTGATCAGACTACTGACTATACTGACTGAGGTGTTTAGTTTCCATTAAACTTACTGGCCAAATTTCGGGAGTATATCACGTAATAGATCATGATCAGGTCCTTTGACTTCCTTATATATTCACCATTCATAACTATCTTCACATTTTAAATACTGCTATATAATCTATGCAGTTGCAGCAACAAAAAGCACAAACTCTGTGGCCTGTAGCCATTATACTGACCGAGTGACCACTGTTTGTCAGGGAAGTTAGTGCCAACTTTTGCGGAGAGAGTGTGTCATGTTGTCAGTGCAACAGATCCCTACAGTCATTAATCTCGGTTTTCTAGACCAGAGCTGCTATTTCCTTGAAATAGCTCCCCAATTATCCTCATGAGACTGAGTGAACCTCGTTCCAGACCCACTACTTTTCAGAAAATCTAGTAGCACCTGGAATCGAACCCGGGACCTCTGGATCTGTAGCCAGGAACTCTCACCACTAGACCACAGAGGCGGTCCAGTTGCAGCAGCACCATTAAATAATATAAGAACCAATCAGGATCCTCCCAGTCAGAAGAATACATGCCTGCTTAGAGCCATGTTTATGTTCAGGTGGCTCAGGAGTTGTCTGTTTTGGTCCAGTCTCCTCCCATCCTTCATGTCCCCCCTCCTCCAGGTATCCTTGTCATCGCTCATTTATTATTATTCCATAATTCCATGTACCACGCGATTTCCCCCTTCCTCCATTTGTTTAAAAAGAAAACCCCCATCTAAGTAGACAGAGTTTGAAGTTGGTCATTCATTTGCCAGCTGTCAGTGAGGTAATTTTCGCTTAGTGGGGGTGGAGTCCAACTGGGTCAACTTGGCACGGCGGCCACTGATTGACCTATTGTAGCCTGGCCTGGGTGATTATGATGATAGAGAATTTGGTGGAATGAAGATTGGCAGGGGAAACCGAAGTACTCGGAGAAAACCCGCCCCAGTGCCACTTTGTCCACCACAAATCCCACTTGACCAGACTCAGGATCGAACACAGGTCACCGCGGTGGTAAGCCAGTGACTAACTGCTTGAGCTATGGCACAGCCTCGTCAGTGAGGTGGGTTGTGAAATTCTATTTAGGTTGTGTATTGTAAATTCTGTTTGGATTCTCATTCCAGCCATTCAGGCAAGGGACCACTTGTTGCAATGGGTGTGTCAGAAGTGTTGCAACAAGGGTTTTGGTGGGATCTTAGTTTATTATGTGGTTGGGCTTGTATTGTTTCGTTTTGTGTGACTGGATTTGGAAACTTAAAGAGCAGTCTTTGCTTTCCAGTGGTTGAGCAAAGTAGGTTGATAATTCTATTTCAGCTAGGATTTCCAAATTTCATTTGGACCCTTCACTCTGGCTGCTGAGGGCAAGGAGCCTCCTCATTGCAACAGCAAGTAATTTTCATTTGGAGATGTAATGAGAGTTTTGTGTTATATTACTATTTGTTAGGGTTTGCTGCTGCCCCTTTTAGTGTTGTTGTATGACTAGCTAATGGAGTAACATTGCAGTTTGGGTCATCTTGCAATTTTACATGAGTTTGATCATTCTCTAGGTCTGCAGTAAATGGATGGCTTCATGTGGCTCCTTTATGTGTACCTTTTTTTACTTGGTTTCAGCCTGGACTGACCAAGGTTGTCGAGGGCATAGATTCATATGCATATCTGAAGTACAAATGTAATGTTTTAAGTCTTATTTTTTATTGTCATTATTGTTAGAAACTGTTATTAAATTCTTATTTTGGAGATTCGATCTTTTCTTACTAAAGCTAAGCTTAGACACCCCATTTCAACAGGGGAGCACTGAGAACACAACAATGGAACCAAAGACAAAGGCAGCAACTATCCCCCAAAGTGCAGGGTAAAGAAATGAGGTGCTGTTAAACTTAAAAAGAAGAATAATCTGTTGGTCTTTCATAGAAGGCTGATTAAGAACCTGTGTCATTTCAATTCAAATCTTGACAAACCTACTTCTCAAACATTTCAATATTATTTCCTTATATTTGGCTGGGGTTTCCAAATAAGTCTCTTCGAATAGTTGTCCACAAAAAACTAAAAGTAGTAACATGACCTCACACAATACACATATTACAAACTGACTGCTCCTCTAAAAGCTTTTGACAATAGATGGCTCATTCACAGCAACACATTCACAAAACATTGTCCATTGCCTGAGCTATATTTGGTATACAGAATATTTCTGTGGCTAGCTGTACTCCTGTCTCCACATGAGTGTCATTGCACTTAATGACAATATTCTAATATTATATATATTTTCAAAATTAGTGGCAATGACTGATATTTGTCTCTGGAGCTGAGTCAAGTGACCAAATGCTTACCATACAGGTTTAATATTTAAAAGAGTCTAGTTTTGATCTTGATTGTTTACATTACTATCAGAAACAAAAAGCAGAAAATGTTTGTCTAGTGACAGCCAAACACATAACGAGAAGTACCAAAATATTAGAAGAATCTTTTTACCAGCAAATTGGACTTAAATTTGAGGAAGAAACTAGTGAAATGCTACATTTGGAGCATAGCTCTGTATGGGGCTGAAACATGGACACTTAGGGCAGTAGATCAGAAACATCTGGAAAGTTTCGAAATGTGGTGTTGGAGAAGAATGGAGAAGATCAGTTGGACCGATTATGTGAGAAATGAAGAAGTGTTAATTAGAGTCAGTGAGCAGAGGAATATCCTACATGAAATAAGAAAACGGAAGGCTAATTGGATTGGTCATGTTTTACGCAGAAACTGCCTTCTAAAAGAAGCTATCGAAGGAAAGATAGATGGGCGGATAGAAGTGACAAGAAGACGAGGAAGAAGACGTAAGAAGATGCTGGATGACCTTGGGGACAGAAGAGGATACTGTCATTTGAAGGAGAAAGTTCTAGATCGCATTAAGTGGAGGAATTGTTTTGAAAGAGACTGTGGACCTGTCATCTTGACAGATTACTGATGATGATGATGATAGTTACACAGAATAAAAACCTCTCAAATATTATGATTTTTACTTCATAAACATCTAGCTATTTACTGGAAGCTTGAAGTTTAATTATTTCACTTTGTGACATATGTAGTATGTGTGAATATTGTGAAGGTAAAAATAAATTGATCTAGAGATTTTCACAGATTTATATATGTCTTCAGATAAAAGACATGTATGAGGGTTTTAAATGCCAAGTCCTGCATGATGGCAAACTTACTGAATACATAAAAATAACCACAGGAGTAAGACAAGGATGCTTTCTACCCCCTACTATAGTTCTGCTCGTGTTGGATGATGTGATGAGGAAACAACCAGTATGAGGCAGAGAGGGGGATCCAATGGGGCATGATGGACCGTGATGGACAGACTAGAAGATCTAGTACTTCTTTGGGCTTGTTTTGGACTTATTCTGTCATCTGGTATGTAAAAGACAAAAGGTCACAACGTTTCAGAGACTGGATCTGTCTGCATCCTCAGGTAGGTAGGGCAGGATACATCTACTCAGTTGGGCCCATTAGAAAGAGCTAGTCTCAATCATTGTCCACTACCCATCTGAGGACGGAGACAGATTCAGTCTCCAAAACGTTGTGGTCTTTTGTCTTTTACATACCAGATGATGGATGAAGTCCAAAACAAGCCAAAGAGGTCCAGTGATTGAGACTAACTCTTTTCAACGGGCCCAACTGAGTAGGTTTATCCTGCCCTACCCACCTGAGAACAGACAGATCCAGTCTCCGAAACGTTGTGGTCTTTTGCCTTCTACATACCAGACGATGGATGAAGTCCAACACAAGCCAAAAGAATTACAGTATACACCATCGTCAGAATCATTTCAAGTCCATCGAAGATCTAGACTTTGCAGACAATATACTTGTATGTTTGATGGCCCAGAGGTTCCAGGATATGGAAGAAAAACTAAGAAATCTTCAAGAAGAAACAAAGAGAATGTAAATAAGACTAAAGAAATGAGGGTAAACAATAAAATTCAAAGGAGACTAACAGTTTATAAACAAGAACTTGAGCAAGTAGAGACCTTCTCTTGTTTGCGAAGTACTATAACTAAGAAAGGGTGCGTAGATGAGGATGTTAAAAATCGAATAAAAAAGGCAAATGGGATCTTTATCCAATTATATCCAATTTGGAGAAATAAATATATTTCCAAGAAGAGTAAAGTCTGCATCTTCAGTATGAACATGAAGTCAGTAACCATTTATACCTGTGAGACATGGAGAGTCACAAAGCAGATCACTGACATGCTGCATAGTTTTATTAATAGATGTTTATGCCAAATCATAAACATAAGATGGCTGGAAACTATCTCAAATGAAGACCTTTAGACAGTCACAAAACAACAGACAATTGATGTTCAGATAAAGAAAAGAAAATGAAATTGGAACAGTCATACTTTGAGGAAACCTACTGGAGCCACTGAAAAGACCACACAGGACTGGAACCCCCAGGGTGCTCATAGATATGGTTGTCCCAGGAAAATATGGAGGAAGAAGTCAGAGAAGGAGGCAAAACATGGAACAACGTAAAAAGATTGGCAACCATCAGAACCAGATAAAACCTTATATTATGCTATGACCTGCCCCTTCCAACTGTCTCACAATTTATTACTCATCTGTCATCCTACCATTCAACACACTATAGCCAACAGTACTGAAAGTGCCATAAAATATTCCACTGCACCAGTGCACCTCAAAAGGCGTTTCGTGGAACCCTGAGGTTCCATAAGGTGAAAATATGGGTTCTGCAAGAAAATTCTATTATAATAAAAAAAAAAGAGATTATTGACGTTGTTGTTGTTGTTGTTGTTGTTGTTGTTGTTGTTGTTGTTGTTGTTGTTGTTATAGTTATACTAAAAGGTTATCAACACCCTTCAGTGTGATTGACAAATGTTTTTTCTCCTCTCTAAATTTTCATCCTTGCCATGTTTCGGTGTGAGAGACCATCATCAGAAGGACATATCAATACAAGCAGAAACTACTTACTCTTGCAATGTGAATGGTCAATATCAATACATACATACAATATTGTTGCGTGCCGGGAATCCGGAAGGTATACTTCCATAGAAACCCAGTAACAGCGGGCCGTTGCCTAGCAACAAACGCGTTTCCCCAGTGATATAAGACAACAGAAGATTCGTTGCGTGGCAACGGCCGAGATCAAAGGCTCCTGCGTGGTCCGCTATATTCCGTCCGAGACCAGGGTATAAAAGTCAAGCTTCGAAGGCTCGAAGTGACCGGTGAGTTCTAGAACTTCTAGAAGTTGCCGAACAGTTGATTTTGCATCTGACGTTAGAAGAGTAGTCAGTCTTTAGTTTGGCTTTGATAATAGAAGCAGTAACTGTGATACTGAAAGTGATAATAATTGTACTCGCTAGTGTAAAAGTGAGCGTTCGATAAACGTATTGCGTGAAACGCGACAATATCATTACAATGTCATGAATATAAAATCTGAGTCTTTAACAACTACAGCGATGTGCATGAACATATCAAAATATTTATAAATTATTATAATTAGTTTATTTACAAGTGTGGTTTAAAAAACTCTGTTAAAATTTAGAACTAATTTGGTTTGTGTCCTTTATACCGCTTCTCTTTAAAGGAAGTTGAGTGTTATTGTTACAACACAGCGCGACCCGAACAACAGTAAAGAGTCCTATTCGTTAATATATCGTAAAGAAACATAGAAGAAGTTGAAATGCACGAAGAGATTCTTTTGACACTTGTAGATGACGAACTTCAAAATGCAGGTTGGTGAAGCATACTTAACCTTACTTTATGTCTCGTGCACATGGTTTACGTCTCGACCAGTGATCATTTATTGACTATTTCAGTAATTTTGTATATTTGATATTTTAAACTCGTTTCAAACCAGTTTCTTAAGTCTGCTATTAATGGCATCGGTGGATTGAACGAGTATGACAGTAAACAGTTGTTTACTGTTTATATTACTGTTGTAATATTTTAAACAACAATCGAGCAAGTTTTTGAGGGAGTGTATAACAAATTTCCCATGTATTGAATCTAGGAGTGTAGTACCAAACATTATAATCAGAAATAAGATAATTCAGTTGTGTAATTCTCAGTTTATATGGAATCAATTAAAGGAAAGCAGCCATCATAAGTTCTTCCCAATGCTTCTTGTTGAATTACGTTCCTGTGTTACTACTGTTGTGAAATTTGTAGTAATTTATAGTTTGACTTATTTGTCTAGGTAATGACTTTCAGTTTGTTGAAGATATACGAACTGGCAGGTATATGAAGTTACTAACAACATCAAAATGTGAAGAAGTTTACTGCCAGTACTTAGATAACAGTTGTGATGATGTTTCCTTAGATGCTTTATTAGAGAAATCTGTGAAGGCATACATGGACCACAGCTGTACAACACCAAGACAGTAAGTATGAAGCCAGCTTCTTTTAATACCATTCAAAAATGAGTTCAAATTAATTTTGGTAAAACAGTCTTATAAATGTCTGAAAATGTTTTAATCCAAGAAGACTCAAATAAGTAGGCAGTTCAGTGCATTGCACAGTGAGACGTCTCATGTTTTATGCAAAATACCTAGTGTTGTTAGGTTAGAAAAATCTAGGAGTGGGGCTTGAAGACAAGGAATCCATACAAAATTTTGGTGGGCTAACTTCATAGGAAAACTGCCACTGAGAAGACTGAGAATAGGTAGAACATTAACATTTGGCTGAATATTAGGTAGTTAGGTTTGGGGAGATGGATGGAACTGGCACAGGATCATATTCAGTCGCAGGGTTTGTGTCTGCAATATTGAGTTTTGAGTTTCTACTATCAGAGAATTATTTTAATTAGTCCACTATAACCCTGACTTTTTAAATTTTCATCGCGATTCTTAAAAATGGTTCATTGTACCAAAAAGTAAATAGTATAGATAGAGATTTACATGTAAGTACTTCTTATATATGATACATTAATGTTTAAGAGATGGAAAGGGAGAATATCTACAGTTGATTAAGTTTGCCAGCAATGTATTTTTAACTGCAGTGATCAAATATCAAGGCCAGTGAGTAATGATAGTTGTTTAAATCTTGTGTTTGTAGCACCACATTGCTTTGTATTTGTATTTATTGTAAGTTCAAGAGATCCAAAGATGGATATAGAACATGTCATAAAATAATGTAGAGCATAGAATACATACATAGTTATTACACAACTAGACAGTACAGTGAATACAATAATAATAATAATAATAATAATAATAATAACAGCAACAATGAATAAAAGTTATCTATTTAGATATTCATCCACATCGTAAAACGTATGAGTGTTCAAGAAATGCCTTAATACAACCTTAAACTTTTTAAAATTATTAGATGTGTTCTTGATCTCTATGGGCAATTTGTTAAATATTTTTATACCCACATAATAAACTCCTTTTTGATAAACAGTTAAATTAACTTGAGGTAGATATAAATCTTGTCTTTGTCTAGTATCAATAGTATGAGAATCAATGTTTGATGGAAAGAGAACTTTATTTTGCAATACAAATATTAACAACAAAAATATATATTGTGATGCAAATGATAAAATATTTAACTGTTTAAATATGTTTCTACATGACACTCTATTGCCATATCCCAGCATTGCTCTGATAGACTGTAAGGCACTTCTTTCAAAATAACACTGCACTGCATCCCCCAAACTGTTTATTAAATAATTAATAGATTTATGTGTTGTGATGAGGCACTTTGGTCCATAAACTCCATTCTTGTCAAGCAGGCAGCTGGAAGTTCTCTGTATGGGTATAGCCAGTCTACAAGCGTTTGTGCAGAGCAACTGGACAGGCCCACCGCTGGAGAGGGACTCGGCCCCAGGGTCGTCTGTCATATGTTGGCTGCAGTCTTGGTATGAAGGTAGCGCAATGAATAAGAGGCAGTTGCAAGATGAGGTGACTGCATGTTTGGTTCTTGATGGAGAGAGCTGCTGTCCACTCATGAGTCATCCAGAACTGTTGTTGTTGTCACGTGTCTGTCTGCAGGTCTGCTGTGATAGGCCACAGCCTCTGCTGGTTAGTATCAGTTTTATTTATCTTATAGAGTTGAAACTGAGACCTCTCTTGTCCACATCTAATTCTGTTAAGTGTTTGAAAGACAGCAGAAAGAGAAGATCATGTATGATTATTTCTAATTAATGAGATACAGTTTATTCAAAATTCTTCTGGTAAAAACTAAATGATGGTGAAATTATTATTAATCTGGTATTACAGTACAGCTGCTGTGAAAATCATCTGTACTCAGATGATGTTTAAAAAAAAATTGGAGTGGGATGTTAACAGTATTTCAACTGTTTTGAGACTTCAGAACAAAGCTTATTCCCTTAGGTAAGAACTGTCATAACATGCTACAGTGAAATCCCCATTTAAGTTTTATTTTGTGGGGAGCAGTGAATTTGAACAGAAAATTGAGGAAAATTTGAAGTACAGGAAATTTAAAACTGAAGTTCTTCTGTTGGGCTCATTGCAGTTGTGTGTTAAATGAGAGAAAACCTGAAATTGAAGACCATTATATGAGGATTTCACTGTAAGTTACTTTTCACTTTTTTAGAAAGGAATATCCATTGTTAGAAGCCACTAGTTAGCAACGGTTAAAGAAGACAACAAGCTGAGAGGACTTAGCATGTGCTGTGGTGAATTGTAGAGTGTGTAGGTTAATGAGAGTGTTATAATTATTTGTAGTTATGAGCCATAAGCATTCAATAAATGCAATTATCGATCCAAACCCTTTGTCTAGTCGCTAATGCCTGATAGCTCGTGTTAGAAGGGGGATTCTAAACACGTTTCTTGCAGGAATGGAATTTGTGTTCACTAAATGGGGGTGAAATGCTAAAACAAGAAACACTGATTCAGGAAAAATTATGTATCATTATATAGGGCTTTGGCTGGAACCACAAAATAAGGAAATACCTCCATGCACTCTATACACATTTAGAGAATGATTCTGAGGCACAGGATAATTCTGTCTTCTTGGTACAAAAGTAGGACACTGCAGTAGGACAATTTTATGAAGAAGTGCAATAAGAGTATTGTTTCTCTCTCAGAACTGAGGTCTTTGGGTCCGTGTATGGTATGCATCTCATATTACAGCAAGGCTGACAGTTGAGATTGAAAAACTGTATTTTCTTTATGGCACATTTTTAATATACAGGATGTCTGAAAAATAATGATGGGGTTTCGAGAACCAGTATTTAGAAAAATGAGAAACATATTTAGGAAAGGAATATTTTATTTTAAAGTGTACCTCAAATAACTCTGAACATACTTAGTAAGTTTCCACATGTTCACCATTTATGACTCAACATATGGTCAATCAGATTCCACTTTTCGTCGTACCTGTAGCATATCTTGTTAGCTGCTCATTGGCTTTGCTTATTCTTCCTTTCCCATGATACAGGTCTTGAATTGTACCCATATAAATGTAATTCTTTATGTATCCCCAAAAGAAAAAATCAAGCAATGTCAAATCAGTGCTTCTAGGTAGCCACAGAACTGAATCACCCATGCCAATCCATCTGCCAGGAAACATTGCACTAAGAACTTCCATAACATGTCTTGAGAGATGCAACGGTTTGCTGGTTTGCTGGTGGGACCATTTGTGAAACTGTTTTAGTGGAGGAATGTTAAGGTATAACATTCAGTGATGTATTTTGTGTATGTCGTGACAGAGCCTCCTGAAACCCCACCAGTATTTTTCAGACACCGTGTATAATTGCAACAACATTTTATATTTATATCTTTTGGCCAAATTTTGAACTACTAATTAAAAATCTCAGCAGTAATTTCTTCCAAGAACAGTATGATATGCAACTATAACTGATATATTTTATATTTCTCTAACTGTACTATGCAGCACTTAGCAGAAGCATGGAAAATTTGAATTTAATTTGACAAATTTTTTCATCATAATCAAGAGCCAGGATACCTCAGTTAGAATAGTAGGATGGCCAGGTTAGATTCCTAGCAGGTGCAAGAGATTTTTCTCTTCTCCACAGCATCCAGAATAGCTCTGGCTCTAAGGCCAAACCAGCCTTCTGTCTGATGAGTATCAGGGACTCTCCCTGGCAATGAAGCTGACCATTCACCTTTGTCTAGTGCTGAAGTCAAGGATGGTGGAGCCATACCTGCACTCCCTCATACACGTACATCTGCATTTTATGGTGATGAATGAATTAATTAATTAATTAAGCACAGGGACAATTTTACCTTTTTTTCCACCATAATCTTTGAGATAAATGTGGAATGCTAAGCTTTACTGCTGTTTTAGTAAACTGTGAAAACTCAGTGTCTTGCTATACACAGGGATATTTCATTAAAAGAAGATTTAAATGCATGAAAAATATTGGTCTGTTCTCAGAGTAGCCAGTGGTGGCTATTGCGATGCTTGTTTATTCACCAACAAGTCCTGGATGAGGTTTCTCCTACACTCCACAAGCGTGTTACATCACTGTTGGAAGAATTAGTGAGATGTGAACCTCTGATGACCAAGGAGCATAATCAGATCTTATTCCATCTGGAGGCTGCACGGATTCATCTCTTCTACAGGCATGTTGCCAAGTCTCAGGAGCACTGCAAGATGGCACTGAAGGCAGCAAACATGAAGGTGGAACTCACTGGTATGTTAACAAGTGTTGTAAAGGGAAGGCAGGTTGAAGGAAAAGTGATTAAGTCCAGGGTTATTTAGTGACATGTTTTCAACTGCATTGCTTATGTAGCATCATATAGTAGGATGACTGTGAATAATGAATTGGAAAGAATGTGATTGTAGTTTATTTTAAGATGGTAATGTAGCGTTTGCCTTAAAATACTGTAGAAAGCAATGGAAACCCACAGCATTGATAGCCTGCCTCCAGGCCAAGATTTGACTTAGGATCTTCTGAGCAGCCTCCGTAGTCTAGGGGTAATGTTCGCACCTCATGACTCAAGGTACGCGGGTTCAAACCCGGCGGAGGTCGTGGAATTTTTAAGGGCAGAAAAATTCAGGGAACAAGTCCTCCGGGAGGGACTTTAAGCCGTGGGTCCTGTGTCGTAGATTTACGGCACATAAAAGATCCTCATGTCTCTAGGAGACCTCTGAGCAAAATTAGGTAAAAAGTTTCCTGCCCAAGTAGTTTCCAATGTCTCCGGTAGATGGGGGAAGCATCGGGTACCACAGCCAGCCTCGCTAGCTGAATGGGACTGATAGCAAGCACCAGTACCGGCAGGTTATGGAGACTGGTAGAATATCAAAGGGGGACATACAATAGACTATTAGTTGCGGTGCATGGGGAAACCAACCCCCTCCAATAATAATAATAATAATAATAATAATAATAGGATCTTCTGAATATTAATCAGAAAGATAAATGGAATGTTATTCCTGATAAACCTGTGGTAGAACCTTTTCTTGATGCTTATACATGTATCCCTCAATTTATGAGGGTAATTCGTTCCACAAAAACTGTTTATAAGGTGAAGATTCATGGATCTAAAGTGGTATTCCCATTACTTTACATGCAAAAGTCACCAGCTTGTTCATGAGTCCCACAAAAATCCCCTATAATTTTTTAATATCATCATTAAAATAAAGACAGTGTTAGTTGTTTATGATGCTGTAGCATGTAGACCCTTTGCTGGGCAATGACCGTGACATAAGCAAATATACAAGAGCGGTTACTGAGTAATGACTTCTCAAACAAACATGTTCTCATGGAAATAATTGAACTGCAACAATGAGTGGCAGTGTTTTCTGTGCGGTCTGTGCCAAGATGTGCTAAGCAGGACATGTTGGGAGCTGCAGTTAGTCAGTGAAGAGAAAATTGAAAGGTTGGTGTGAGATGGCCACCTGCCTGGTGGTCAGTTGGAGCAATGAGTCAGTCGTGAGATTTGCCAGCCAGTAAGGATGTAAGCAGTGGACACTGGTTACCGGAAGATGTCTAACGAAAGCAAACTAAAAAGACTTGTATGTGCAGTATTGAAAAGACTATTTTATGAATTAGCTAGAGCATTATAATTACTTGTAGTTACGCTCTGTAAGTGTACGCTAAATCCAATTACCCAGGCAAACCCCATCTATAGTCACTTATACACGTAACAGTATTACTGTTGCACATAATACTATTATTTTATTTATGTCTATTTTCTCATAGCTGGTTCAAAATATTGATGTCGCTTGTAGCCATACTTCTTACTTTCTTTCCTTTCTTTGGCTTATCAACACCTCTTACAACCATTTCACTTGTATGGGAGCCATGATGGGCACAAATAACACCAGTATTTATGGATAAAATGTAAGCATCAAGAGCACAGCTGATTCTGTATGCTCACAATGAGATGGATGGATAGACTGGGAAAGTAGGAAATGCACATAGGTGGGATGTGTCTGCTTTTCCCCACCTTGCCAAGTGCTGTGTATGTATTTCTCCACCATCACAAAAAAAAATTATCAATTTAAGCTGTTTGTTGTGGCAGAAATGAAGTTCATTGAGTGAAAAATAGATGCAAATTAACACACTTCATTGTAGCAAAAAATTAATGACTTGAGGGATCCTGCATTTGGGATGTTAAGGATGCGAGGTTATCATGTAGTGGCTTTGATGGCTTCATGTGTAATATACATCACATGAGATTGAGTTAATTGTTGTCACTTCATGTTTGATAATCTGTGTGATTCAGTTTCTCACTCTGTTGCATACATAAATATATTGATGAATGTCCACTGAAAGCTGGAATAGTTTAATCAGAAGAGAAGTCCATTACTAGGTTATGGCACTAACTGCCACGTCAGCACAGCAGCAGTTATGCACACAACAATACAGGAATTGTGGGAAGCAGTGTTCTCCGTGGCTCCAAGCAGAGGCTATATTTGGAGAATCAAAACAGCTAACTCTAGAGAGTCTTGAGTTTGCAATTAGCAGTTGGGAGACAGTCATTGCATAGCAATGCCAAGTCTGTTTGTGAGATGGGCGCCAGCCAGCAAGGACAGAAGCCACTGAATATAAAAGCTGAGGAATCTATGGCATTGGAAGCAATTACTTACTACACAACTGCTGAAGACACAGCAGACTTAGTGTGTGTGAATTAGTAACTTGTCATAAGTCGTAAGAGTCTAGTAAATCCAATTACCGATCAAAACCCTGTCTATAGTCACTCAGTTATGTGGAAATATATTCACAAGTTGCTGTAACAGAGAAGCACTGAATTCCTCAGAAAGGTATGACATAAGATTCCTTCATTTAAAACATAATACTTATTTTGATTTATTTTAGGTGCACTTGGTAAGAAGACACGGTTCCAAACAAAGGAGGTGGCCCAACTTACTGTCAGAGTATCTGTGGCAGAGAACAACAGGACAAGTGTGATCCCCACAGTTCAACCAGAACACTTCCCTAAGGTAAAATATTTGAAAAATAACAGTTATTCTTAGCATTGTGAACACAGTTAAACAACTACTACTACTACTACTACTACTACTACTACTACTACTACTTCTGCTTCTATTTTTACTGCTGCTACTACCACCACCACCACCACTCTACTACTACTGCTACTACTCTTGTTACTGCCTTCACCGCAGCTGCTATCCACTGTGACCACCATACCCATGACAACCCCTGCTGCTTTGCAGTTGCAGATTTGATCTTACCATACCTTACTATCTAAAGTAGGCTTACTTGTGCAGCTTAGGTGATTATATTGTAACGTACATAGGTTGGATAAAGAGTAGTGGCAATGCCTTTATATAGTTCTGAAATGACTTTATTACCTGAGGTAAACACACTTGCATTCCTTCAGTATAATCGCCCCCCACGTGTACCACATTCTGCCAGATTTGTGGAAGACGTCGTATACTATCAGTGCATCCACTTCTGTTGATGTCCAGCAGTGACCGCCCTACAGCACGAATAATCTCCTCTCTTGTGATGTAATATAACCCTCGCAGTGGTTCTTTCATCTTGGCAAAGATATCAAAATTGCATGGATTCATATCGGGTGAGTATGGCGGATGTTGTAGTATCTCCATTGTCAGCGTCGAAGGAGATCCTTGACAGTTTCAGCAGTATGAGCCCTTGCATTGTCATGAAGGATGATGGGGTTCGTTGCCAACAAGTTTCGTCACTTTCTCCTGAGGAAATTGCAGTAGTAGGCAGCGTTTACTGTCTGTCATTGAGGTAAAGTGTGGTATAGTATCACTCCATCAGTGTCATATGCCAAAATGGACATTGCCTTCACATTACTCTGTGTAGGGCGCACTTTCTTTGGACGAGGAGAACCAGAATGCTTCCATTCATTTGATTGTCGCTTCAAGTGTGGTTCATATGAGCGAGACCAAGTTTCGTCCAGAGTGACGATCCTTCCAAGGAAGTCATCACCTTCCTTCTGGTACCGGTCCCACAAGTCCTGTGCAGTTGCATAACGTTACCATTGTTGCACCTCAGACATTGTATGGGGTGCCCGACGCGCTGTAGTTTTGTGGTTTCCAAGAATATCGTGCAGAATGTAGAGCACAGTTTTGTGACATACGCCTATCTCAGCAGCTAACTCCCACGCAGCCCATCAACGATCGACATCCAGCAAAGAAGCAAGAAGCTGAATTGTGTGTTTGTCAACATGGGGTCATCCTGAACGATGGCTATCCTGAATGGCCTCCGTAGTCTAGAGGTAACTTTCCCACCTCATGACTCGTGGTACGCGGGTTCAAACCCGGCAGAGGTCATGGAATTTTTAAGGGTGGAAAAATTCAGGGAATAAGTCCTCTGGGAGGGACTTTAAGCTGTGGGTCCCATGTTCTAGCTTTATGGCACGTGAAAGAACCTCATATCTCCAAAGGAGGTCACTGAGCCAAATTCAAGGACGTTTCCCGCCCAACAGTAGTCTCTAACGCCTCTGATAGATGGGGGAAGCATTATAGATACCGCCAAGCTAGTAGAGACCGAACTCGCTGGCTCGGTCGGGACTGATGGTACGCACCAATATCGGTAGGGTATAGAGACTGGTAGAATATTATAGAGGGAAGCACAATAGATCAAACTGGTCACTGTGCATGGGGAAACCCACCCTCTCCAATAACTAACTAACTAATGTGGACGCGCCTTTAGATTCAGTCATCTTCCATTCAAATAAATACAGTTTGTATGCGTCATTACTGTTTACTCAAAGAGCCCTAGAAAACTGTAGGTCATATACTTGACCTTAACAGGTGCATGCAGAAAGAATGAGTCAAAGCAACATTCCAATGTTATAAATCTTTTGAGTACTCACATTAGCTCCATCAGTAATTTCATTGTACATACTTTGTATTAAGTTTCTCTTTGAGTTGAAATGCATGCATAAATAGTACACATATATTATAGATCCAGTATTAGAATTCAAACATGGGCACAGAAAGAAAGTATCTGTAATTGCTGTGCAGTGAGGCCCACCGTACAGTGTTTTCTGCTAGTTTTTGAAGTTATGTAACATGTACAAGGTGTGGCAATAAAGAAACCGGATTCATGCTCTAACCCTTTATTTAAAAAAAATCAGACAGTCGAAATGTTATCCCCTTCAATGTAGTCCCCTCCCCGATCCCTACACCGCTCCATGCGAATTTTCCACTGTTGGAAGCAGTGCTGCAGGTCATCTTGTGTTATGCTCTTCAAGAGTTGCGTCGCTTTTGCTTTCACTGCATCCACGGACTCGAACCTGGTCCCTTTCAGCGCAGACTTGATTTTTGGGAAGAGAAAAAAGT